CCCCCCCCCCCCCCCCCCCCCCCCCCCCCCCCCCCCTCGCCGCTCCGCGGGGGGGGGGGGGGGGGGGGGGGGGGGGGGCAAGAAGTTGGGAAATTAGCCAGTCTTTATTTTGCTAGCCATGACCCAGTGTAGCAGTGAGAGATTCTGGGAGTGGGTGTGGGGGGTGCATCCAGCCCAGCACCCGACACACTTGGATCACCTCACCTTTGTGGCCTGTTTACCTCCTGATCCTATGTGTGTGCAGAGCTCATGGATGCAGAAGCACATGGAAGCCTCACGAGGTACAGGACCCACATGCTGAAGCTGCCACCTCCCGCTGGCTGAGCCGGGCCCGCGGCACCAGTGGGGGTCCGGTTCACTGCCCCGGTTCTTGAGTCCATACCTACTGCAGGCTGCCTCTTTTACCTGGAGTGACTTTCAGTGTTTGACCCCTTTACAGTGATGCCCCAAGGTTAAGGATTTTATCCAAGGGGACACACCCTTCTGGGCCACTTTCAGGCTGCCGGTCCGACAATTTGACCTCCGCTCTACCTGCTGCCCCACTCATAGGCACCTGAAGTTGTCCCTGGCAATGGGGAGGGCACAGAGGGGGCAGGAGGTACAGGCTCTACCCCAGTCCCTCATGTCGTTGTGCTGGATCCGGCCCCGCCCGCCATCTCCATGGAGACAATGACAAGCTCCTTCAGATGGTTAGGGCACAGAGACAGTCAAAAAATTCCTGTTTTGTTCATTTTCCGGATAATTTCTCCGTAATTTTACCCATAATTTTTTCCGGGTATTTCTCCAGTTCCGAGTGCCAAGTAGGGGTGTGAATGCGGAGAGGGAAGGAGGAATAGGGCCACCGTGTGCTTTAGGGGAAGGAGCCGCAAATGGAGCGCATAGCCCCAGCCACGGGAGCTCCAGGTGTTGATGGGCGGCCCCGAGACCTGTCACATGACACTGGGAGCAGGAACAGCACACCCACGCACTCACACAGACCTGTCACATGACACTGGGAGCAGGAACAGCACACCCACGCACTCACACAGACCGCAGCGGCCTTCCTGTGAGACTCTGGTCCATGGCAGCCTCCTCCTGGATAAATATAGGCCAGAAGCTGCCAGAGGCAGCAGCGTGGGCGGGGGG